TTCAACCAATCCCAACAGACAGAGAGTCATTAACCCAAAATTTGCCCAAACAAATCTTGATCCATCCTTTATTACTGCCTCCAAGTAGGAAATGGCATAAATAAGGAAGACAATTTTTAAAATTTTTGTTTTAATGGCAACTAAGAGTATAATGGGATTGGTTTTCCGGTACCAAGATTAAATTATATATATATATATATATATATATATATTTTCTCAATCTCTCAAATCTACTAAAAAATTATTTTCTTATGATATTTTTTAATAATCATATGAAAAATAAATCTATTTATCCACCAAGTTAAATTTTCATGGAATAATTAAGGCTGGAGAAAACAAATGTATTTTTACTTTAAACACTTCATAAGTTTGAGGATATATTTTCCACTTAGATTGCTAGCGTAACTATGTAATAAGTCCTTCAATTTTTTTAATTATCAACAATAAAAAATAAAAATAAAAAAAATAAAAAAACTTATGTTGTCTTGGATGTGTATAAGTTTTTTTTTTTTTTTTTAATACAAATCCAAGACTTTTAGCAGAATTAGGAATTCAGCCATGACTTTTTGTATAATGTTTTGTTGTCTTGGAAATTTTATTCAAAAATTTTAGGAGCATTTTGCAAATTTTTAAATGTATAAAACTTAAATAGTTTTTGTGTACAGGAGAAGTTTGTCGAAGTGTTGAAAAGTCATCACACTAAATTATTAGAAATTAAAAGCATAAGATGTGAATAAAATAATTAAACTTATAATATATGTTTGTCACGGTAATAAAAAGAGAGGAGAAGAAGAATAGGAAAACGTTGCAAGGTTAGACGCCACACGATGTCTATCCAAGTTCGCTGCCTTCCAAAGCCCCGCGCTCTTTTTTTTAGATATTTCATCCCTCTGCATCTACTCTCTCTTTGCTGACATGAAAAGCTCCACCTCTCGCTCAAGGTCAGCCCATCTCCCTCTCTCTATCCCCCATCTCTCATTGTGCTTGAGTTTTTTACCATTAAGAACCCATTGTTGTGCTCTCAGTTTTTAGCTACTAACTTAGCTTGATATTTGATATTAATCCTTGTATTCATCTTTCTTTTCTTGCTAATTTTAGCAAATGCTTCTCCTTTTTTGGGTAATGTTTTGTTTTTTTCCCCTCTTTGTTTAGCTATGAATCTTTTCTTTAGTAATTGAAAAGTTTCAAGCTTTGGACAGTTTTGCATTCTTTGTTTTTCTAAGTTTAATTTAAGTCGAAGGTGGACAGTACATGTTTGTGCTAATGCTGCTTCTGATTATTATCTATACATTGTTAGACGCCTAGACCGAGGCCTTATCACACTAATTTTGGATCTATTAATGAATTATTCGTGCACGTTTCTGCAAATATGGGTTTTGTCATAATTTACATCCTTGCTTTATAGGAAAATCAAGAATTTTCTCTTTAAGATCACTTCTGTTGGGTCATATCATACGTGTTAAAACATAAAAGTCGTCTCCATCACCTTCATATAACAGATTAAGTTATTGAGTTGAATGTTTCTTTGATAATATGTTGAAGTTGAATTGAATTAATTAACAAATTGATGCCTTTGGTAATTGTAAAACCTATTAGGCTGGTTTGTTTAAAGACAGTAGAATGAATCATAGTGCATGACTAATATTACTTGGTCATTCTCAGATTGAAATTGAAATTACAAAAACTGAAGGATGGCATTGGCAGCAAACTCATTTTGTTTGTCCCAAGAACAATGTATTGGCAGCAGTTCTTATGTTACCCGGTCAGGACTTGCAAGTGATGGCAGATTTCATAGGCAACAGGGGCTTCGTTTTCAAGGGATAGCTGTGTTGAAATTTTTGCCAAATAGCAGAAAGTTGAGACACATTCAGTCGATAAGGTCTCATAGGCACCATCATGGGAGAGTGATAAGATGTTCAAATCAGTTCTCAGGCTGGATAAAGAAGTTTTCTTCATTGTTTAGCTCTAATAATAGAAGTACACCCAAGGTAAAATCAATGATATTTGCATATTTTGTTTCAATGTCAAGATAGTTAATTAAGAACCATTTCATTTCTAACCTATTACTTGTTTCACTTTTGCCTTCGTTTTTTTTTTCTTGTCCTGGGATTTGTCTTTAAGGTGATAGAAGGACTTAATTTTGTGGTATTGAGTTTGACAAATGCCCTGAAAGAAAGAGGCAACTTGGAGTGCTTGAAACTAGCTGGCATACTAGCATGTGCATTACTGGTCATTCCATCAGCTGATGCTGTTGATGCTCTCAAAACTTGTACTTGCTTATTGAAGGAGTGCAGGTAATCCAAATCAGTTTAAAGAATTTTTTGAATTGGTTTTACCATCATATCACGTGATATCTTCCGAGTGAAAAAATCACTGCATCAGTGGCCTTCATATCACTGAAGCTAACTCTACTAATTTAGAATGTTTACCTGAAGCTATTTCTGGTGCTGTGTGCTTGGGATTTCCCATACCGTTATTTAACTGTTCAAATCAGAGTTTCCAAGTTAAGCAACAGAACTAGTGGTGAAAAACTTTTTTCTGAGTTGTCCGGATTCCAGAGTAGGTCAAATATCAGAACAATGAAGTGCTAGAGAACAGTGAACAACATAAATCTATAGAAGTTAATTTCTTTCTAACATTTGATGTATAGGATATATTTTCAGTAATCTGTCTGAATGTGGTTTATGGTGGCCTAATGTTATGCAATTTAGAAGATACACTAGTATAAGAGTGGGTTTTGGTTAGAATTTTATGTTGGAACAACTTGGATTTGACAAGCTGAAGGTGTGGTATTGATGAGAATTAGCTGTTGCAAGTTGTGATAGCATAGGGATTTCCTTCATATTGCCTAAAAGTGCATTTTGATCCTTCATCATTCACTTTTACTTAACAGCTTTTTATTCTCAGGCTAGAATTGGCAAAGTGCATTGCAAATCCATCTTGTGCTGCTAATGTTGCTTGCCTCCAGACATGCAATAATCGTCCTGATGAGGCTGAATGCCAGGCAAGTTCTGTTCTTTCTATTGAGACGCTCATAGATACAACTGCAGAAAGAATATGTATAAGCTGAATTATTTCTAACAGCATAAGCTTTAAAGAAAACTGTGTACTATATCTTTGCACATGACCTGCAGAGGCAAGGGGAGACATCAATTTAGAACAAACAAACCCCTCTCTGTCAGCCTCAGCTTTTAAAGTAATTGGTTGTCTAACAACTTGGTTCTACCTTATACCTGTGAGGTAAACTATGGTATTCAACGAGTAACCCTCCTTTGTTATTCTTGCAGATCAAATGTGGGGACCTATTTGAAAACAGTGTTGTTGATGAATTCAATGAGTGTGCAGTTTCACGAAAAAAATGTGTACCTCAGAAGTCTGATGTTGGGGAATTCCCTGTCCCTGATCCTGCTGTTCTTGTCAAGAACTTTAACATTGCAGATTTCAGTGGGAAGTGGTTCATCACTAGTGGCCTAAATCCTACTTTTGATGCTTTTGACTGCCAATTGCATGAATTCCATACAGAATCCAACAAGCTTGTCGGAAATTTGTCATGGAGGATACGAACCCCAGATACTGGCTTTTTCACTCGATCAGCTGTACAGAGGTTTGTGCAAGATCCAGTGCATCCTGGAATACTCTACAATCACGACAATGAGTTCCTTCACTATCAAGATGACTGGTAATTTCCTTTTTCCCATTCTACTTTTCTATTTTGTTTTTGTCAATTTCATTATGGATTCGTGCTAAACTATTGCAATAACTTCCCATGGAAATATAATGCTTACTCCATCATTAAGCATCAGAAAGTAGATTAATTGCTGGTTATCATAATTATGTCTCCAGGTATATTCTGTCATCAAAGATAGAAAATAAACAAGATGACTTCGTTTTTGTGTACTACCGAGGCAGAAATGATGCATGGGATGGATATGGCGGTGCTGTTGTGTACACAAGAAGTGCAGTTCTGCCAGAAAGCATTGTGCCTGAACTTGAGAAGGCAGCCAAAAGCGTAGGAAGAGACTTCAGCAAATTCATCAGAACAGATAATACTTGTGGGCCTGAGCCTCCCCTTGTAGAGAGACTGGAGAAGACTGTAGAGCAAGGGGAGAAGACTATTGTAAAGGAGGTTGAAGAAATAGAAGAGGAGGTAGAGCAAGTAGGGAAGACTGAGCTGAGCTTGTTTCAGAGATTGATAGAAGGGTTTAAAGAACTCCAAAAAGATGAGGAAAATTTCTTAAGAGAATTAAGTAAAGAAGAGATGGATTTATTGAATGGTCTGAAAATGGAAGCTGGTGAGGTGGAGAAACTCTTTGGACGAGCACTGCCTATAAGGAAATTAAGATAGAATTCCTCTTAAAATAACATATTGATTAGACCATATATTGATAGATTCTTCTTATTTTAGAAAATTTTCAGATTCATGCCTTTTATTCTTTGAGAAATGTACAGCTAAGATCATATATATTATGCTTATCTGATTTCTCCAGAGAAGGAAATCTGGATTTCCCTTTTTTTTTTTTTTCCTCCCTGGTGCGTTTTGTTTTTTCTATTTGTTCCTACCCAGTACCCGAGACCCAATGGCCTCCAGAATCACGTAGGTGAAGGTGGATTCAAAAACACGAGTAAACTTAAGCTTTTCTTTGACGAACAAACACAACATGCAGGTTTTCGGACAAATTAATCCAAACTTAATATCTTGTGGTACTAATCTTGGCTTTAATAAGGTTGTTGTTTCACGCTTTTAAGTCTTCCATTCTGTTGTTCAAGTCCGCTTATTTCTTTCCCTAAAAAGTCAGCAATTTTTCAAATTTATATCAGAACTTTGCAGTTTTACATCACAACATTAAACCCTACCATTACTCAGAGTAGAGCAATAATAACCAGAGACAACCAAACCCTTAGCCAGTCCCAAAATAAGGACTTAAAACATAGGCCTCCATAGTAAAACAAGAAACCAGAAGGAATAACAGGTCATTAAATCCTCCATGAGAACCTCCAATTCAAGAGTGACTAAAGCTAGTAGCAATAGGTATGACAATCACTAGAATGATTATCAAAAGAAGAATGATCCCAATACACATCCACTTCCTGCTGCTCCTCTGGTAAGCTTTAGCACTATTCAGCTTTTTGGTACCATCCTTCACATAGTGGCTAGCATTCAACACATGATGCTCAATATCATCCATCTGCTCCCCTTGCGCCTCCACCATCACTGCCATGTCCAAGAACACCTGGTGCAGCTCCAACAGGCTCTTTTCGATCTCTTTGGCAGCATCATGCCTGTCCTGTATTTCCACCACAGTCTCCAACACCTTCCCTTTCCCATGCTCCTGGATTGCACGTTTCAAGAACTCTTCACCCCCGTTACCATCAGAGATGATCTTATCAATGATTTCCTCATCTGGGTACTCTCCAGTAACAGTGTAGTATCTCCTACCAATAGTATCTTTATACTCTGTCATCATTTTTTGCCTTAGACCTTGAAAATCCATCATCAGCTCCTTCAATTTCTTTCGCAAGCCATTGGTAACAGCAACCCTTGTTCTATAAATTGGAGTTCCTTCCTTATACCCAGAAAGGCGCCTATTAGCAACATTGGCACGGTCCATTTCTTCAAGCTGGGACTTGATACTTCTGGCCTTTTTCAGGACAGTAACAATATCTGCATTGATTTTGTTTCGAATTGATTTTAAGGCCTCTGGTTTGTGTGAAGACTTGCTTTCTTCTTTGGCTTCTTGCAGCTGATCAAGAATCTCACGGATCGATCCCATTTCTTTCTTGACATTCTCAGCTTCTTCAAGGAACAGACCAAGGTTGCTGTCCATGGTGTTTGATGCATTTGCCATTTCTACATCTTGGTCAGGACCAGCTTCAAGATCTTTCATGGCCTCTTTCTTTAGGTCCACATAGCTCATGAAGGATTTGGTCATTAGGTCATTCATCTTTACAAGTTTTCAGATTCACAAACCTGAAAAAAAAAACCCACATGACAAAAAACTATTTCGATTCAAAGAGTAAAAAAACTCACTACAATTTCAAAGAGAAAGATGACCTAGTTGATTGAGCAATACAAAACGCTAAATAAACATAAAAAATAAGAACGTGGACATTATATGGATTTTGGCTTTGTTGATTCTAAGATCAAATCTAAAAATCCTACTAGTTTTAATTTCAGAAAGAAACGACAAGCTAACCAACCAGTTGATGAGAAAAGCTTACCTTTATCAAATGGGTAAAAGCAGCTACAATTGAATCTTCAGTAGAGATTAAAAATGGAAGGAGGGTTATTGTTGGATTAGAAGTGAAAAGAGATCAAGATGGTAAGTGGGTTTTTAACGAGAGATTCAAACACAGCTAGATGATCTTAAGGTTTTTGATATGGAAAAAACACAAGCTCAGCTTCTGTTATAGATTTGAAATCTAAGTCAAAACAGGGTGCTTAAAAGGAAAGCAGAAATCCCCAACAGGAGATCGAAACATAACTAGCCGTTAGCCTCCGTAACGGCTAGTTATAAATTTGCACGTTATGAATTTCTGTTTTATGTACCTGGAAATTTAAATGTGTAGGGTCAACTCTGCCGCCACGTGGGGTCCATATACCGGGTTATTAAAATTTGAAAGAGATGAAGGGGGCAGGGAGGGAAAGCTCTTTTTCCCTTCGAAAGTTTGTATAATCGGTCCCTTCATTTTAAAAGAATTACACATTCATATTTTTGCGCTAAAATCCTTACACTGGCATCCTCAGAAGTCAAAACTTAATCCATTTATGAATTTCATCAACTATTTTGCGGTACTTGAAGAAAACCCGGCTGCTGACTTGATCGCAAAAGCAGTTAGGTGCCTTTTGCGTCCGCCTGAACTTGAAACATTATTAGGTATGTCAAGAGTTATATGCTATTTTCTCATAAAAATATAAAATCAACCATAAAAATTATTTATGGACCTCAGCTATATATAAAAGAGAAGAAGATAGTTTTCGATATAATGAATAATTTCTTAATAAATCCCCATTTTTTTCTTTTTCTTTTTCATACTCTCCATAAACTTATGCTTGAATTAAAATGAATCAATTTATGAAAAAAAAACTTTAGTATTTTATGAATATCCACCGCTTTGTACTTCTTCATTCACTTAAATTGAGTCATAGTCCATATATAGTAATTGGCAATCATATATTAAAATGACATGATTTCATTTCTATTTTTGTATATTGTTTTTGTTTTATTTTCATGTATTGTTTTTAAATTATATTTGTCATGTCAATTTTAATGTAATTGTCATTTAGTATATGCGGCTAAAATTAAATTGATGAAGTATAAAGTGGTGGGTACTCCTAAAGTATTAAAAATTTCTTTTTATTCGCTCAATCAAAACTAATTTTTTATTCAAAAAAATATTAATTGTACATTGTCCACATCAATATGATGTATTTAAAAAGATAAAAATTCAAAATTAAAACTCACAAAATTAAAAGAGGAAATAAACCTCTTTACTCTCCAAATCCAATCCAAAGGGTTGCTTAAAATAAAAACTTGAAAAATCATGTATGAAAAGAAAAAGAAAAAAAAAACAATTTACATGTCATGGACTTCAATTTCTTGACATTAAACAACAACATTAACAGTGACTAATTTTTATTAAATAAGGATGCAATGCGATGGATGAAGCACCTTCTTAATCTTTCCCTTTGCTTCAACATTTATTTTATATCTCTTGGCAATTCCTCAATTACCATTCCATATTTCAATTAAACACATTTTGCGATGAAAATTAAAGCAAAAGAACCGTTTTATTTAATGTTTAGTTTAAGATAAATTTTGTTTCTTAATCCTTGTAAATATGTGCAGCATTTTTGTTTTGAATAAAATTTGACCTTATGTTTATACTTCAAATTTTTAATATTTTTATCATAAAATTTATATTAAAAAATAATGAATTTATAATTCTATGATGATTAAAAATTTGTTTATTAAAAAAAAAATTGGTGAAAGCCATAAATGGTAAACTGCGGAAGAGCCGTCTAAGGGAAGATAGTGGGTTGGGTCGGGCGTCGGGGTGGGTTTTTTTATTTAATCACACTCAACGTGGTGCACCCATGACCATTTTCTGTACTCGTTCTGCATCCATGGAATTAGATTAAGGGAAGGATCTTTTTCACCTGTCATACCCACTATACATTTGACGCGGACTTAGAATTTTTTTAATCTTAAAAAAAATATATATCTTTTAATTTCATGCAGCACTCATAAATTCACATCCTAATAATGAAAAGAATTTCACTCTTTTTTTCTTTTTCTTTTGCTAAGTTACGTTTAAAATATTAATATTTGATGTAATTTAAAAATAAAATAAATAACTCAATTTGTTTTTATATAATACATTAAGACGTTGTTTGATTACTAGGAATTAAAAATCTGAAATGAGAATACAAGAATCGGAATGAAAATTAAGAAATCAAAATGCCATTTGCATTTTCATACTTTATTTGAAATATTAATAAGAAATCGAAATGAAATTTAATTTTTTTAATATATGATTTTTAATACGAATAATAATAATAGTTAAACAAATATTTTTATAAACTACAATGGTAATAAAAACAATAAAGGTGATGATGGTGGTGGTGATCGTGATCATGATGGGAGGTGGTGGTTTGGTTGTTGTGGTTGAAGTAATGGATACATAATAAATAAAAATAATATATTATTATTTTGAAAAAAATTCATTCCTATTTCTTGTTTTTATTTTCACATTTTACATGAAAATGAAGTTATATGTAATTTTTATTTAGATTCTCATTTTTCATTCTCATTTTATTCATTTCAACCAAACAGGTATAAGATGGGTATAAAACTTTCATTGTCATTCACATCACTTTATTCCTAGTAACTAAACAACACCTAAGTCTCTCATATGTCGCTAAATTTTTAATTACATCTCATCCATGTTTGAAAATTGTTTAAAGAATGAGAAAAGCTGTCTCTAAAATAACAAGAAAATTGATTTCAATAAAATTTGATTATATAAAAAATAAGAAAATAAAACAAGTGAATTCTATTTTTAAATTTTGATTATTTAAAGAATTAGTAAACAAAAAAAACTTATTCGAAAATCCATATATAGAGAAAATAAATCATATTTATCAACAAATAAAATTACATAAAAAAATATTTTAGAAAAAAAATTAGAAATCAAAGTGCAATATTTGTCAAAACTTGTATATCAAATACCTAAATATAGACCCAAAATTACAAAAATATCATATCAAATGCATAAATAAAGCTTAAAAATCATAATAATGTTAGTTAATACACCGTATCAAATGCTTAAATAAAGCTTAAAAATCATAATAATATCATTTAATACAATAATTTTAAATAAATGATGCTTTGTGAGTGTAGGTGAATAGTAATCACTCCAAATGTTTTAGATTTTCTATAATACAATGCAATCTAGTACAAAACTGACTTCTATGTGGCCTAACTTGCAAGATAAAATTCTGACAAATGTTGTTTATGGCGCAAAGAACTGAAGAATAGAAATTTGATCAAAAACCAATAATATAATACCATAAAAAGGAAATTAGAACGCCAGGAGGACATAAAGGTAAGAACACAAAAGTAAGAAATAGTTGGCATTAAATGCCACAGTGAAGAGAAGGAAATTAACAATATAAATTATGATAAGAGAGAGAGAAAATAAGAATAGTGAGCCGATATAAAGGTAACAACACAAAATCAAAGAACGACAAAATAAAAAAATAATATTAATATATATATAAGGAAAGGATTTTTTTTTCATTTATAAAGCAAAATTCAGTTAAAATATAAAGATGGGATAATTGGATTTGTTTTATAGGGTTAAAATAGTTACACATTAACAAATTATTTTTTTAAAAAAAAACAGTAAAATAGTCGGTTAGTTATGGGTAGAATGATGAGCCAGGTGGACCATTCACTCAATCTATATCAGATTTTCAACGGATCTCCTTTGATTTTAGTCAAATCAAGCAAAAAAATCAATCCATCCTAATTGGTTGGTGCTAAGAAATAGAGTGATTTTGCCATCGCTCCTAGTATCATTTTATAAAATATGCAGTGCTTGATAAACCTTTTTTTTTTTTCCCCAAAATACTACCACAATATCAAACAATTGTCACTAATAATCAATTTTCTCAACCCATTATCATGATATACGTAGGGATTTAATTCTCTCAAGTTCTTAGAAATATGATAAAACTTATTTATTCGTGATCAAATCAGCATTTTTCAACTCAAATCAATGATTAAGATTTAAATTCATTGCATGGATAATGGATAGCTATTTAAATATAAAATAAGGAAGTTATTTGAATTCAATATAAAAACTAATGGTTGATTTGAATTTAAAAATTAAGATTTATATATAGTCCTGGTCTCTCGTGTTTATCTCAATCCCATTTGAACTAGTTTTATTTCCCACGAAAATGCAGGAAATCGTTTTTAATAGAAAACACTTGTTAAGAATTATTTAATGCTTTTAATAAATCATAATATATATATATTGGTTTTTCCCCAAGTAATCATGTTCAGAACAATAATAGTAAGAATTTAATTTCTTTCAATAAATAAAATTTTAAGATTCAAACTCAACACGTTGTTAAAAAATCCGTCTGAAAATTAACCAAATCGTTTACCACTAGTCTAACAATTTATTGATAACCACTATATGTGTGTGTCCTTCATTTTGATTTAAATATTTCATTTTCACTCATTTTTCAACACAAATCAACAATAAATATTAGTTTAATAAATGCAATCAGACACTGTTCAAAATCCAATAATAAATATAAAATCTTCATTAATAAATGCAACGGGTGCTTTTACGGCGTTGTTAAGAGTTATTTAGTGTTAAAAATCAATCTTCACTTTTTTTCTTCTTAGTTATATAATTAATTGTGGACACTAAAAATATTACAATATAAAATAATAGGTAATTAATATTTTAATCAATACCATTCATTTTCATTAAAATATTTAATTTCTAATTTTTTATCTCAATCCAATAATAAATAAAATCCAATAAATATGCTAAAGGAGTACCCAAGGACACTCATTAGCTTTTTGCCCTTAATAAATCAATAGCCTCATTTTACTATCTGTTTGGAAGGATAAAAATTACACTTATAAGTAGGAATCATGAATTCTGATCTTGCCTTATCCGGGGCTCATACGAAATATTTATTTTGCTGAAAGTCCAAGGTTTCCCAACTACATACCAAACACGAATTAAAGTTGTGCAAAGTGGAATTCAAAATGAGGCGATTACCGTCCACCAAAAAAGAAAAATGGATAAAGTTAGGCAGTTGCTTTATCACAAACAAAAAGTGATCAAGCATGATCCTGCATCAAGCAGCAACCATGCATATGTGTATCAATCCAATGGAGACTCCCCGTATGAACAGTGGCTTCATACCATCTTGGTAATTCATGTAATGGAAGATGCTTAAAGGTTTCAGATTTTGGGTCAAAACTAAACAAAGCTCTTGTGATTGTCATCTCCAACAAGATCTCACCATTCTTCAGAAGGCATATAACTCGAGCATATGAACGTTTTAAGTGTAACACTGAATTCTCGAAGGATTGTTCCACGATATCTATGTTGTATGGATTAATCCAAGATTCCTTCACATTATATTCCTTCATAATCCAAATCTCAAAATATCCAATCTTTCTATAAACAGATGCAGAAAGACAACCTCCTAGAACCACCATGATGATAATTAAATTGGTCCAAACTGCCACAATCAGGCCTTGTAACCTCATAAAACTTCTCATCTGATAGGTCAAACGAGACAATCAACCGAGCTGAACTGTGCTGGTATATAGGCCAAGTTGCCCAATTTAGTCTCCCGTTGACCAGCGTCTGTGATGGCCGCTTACCAAATATTTGGTAAGGAATTTCTCCTAAACTTCTCCAGGTGAGGCTGCGAAGGTTCAGAATTTCAACGCTTGATTGTGGGAAATTAGTTCCAGAGGGACGGATCATTCCTCTGTGGCTATAATACACAATCTTAACAACTTTGTAATCATTCTCCATGGAGGAAAAACCAAATCCAATCACCACCTGCTGATTAGGATACTGTGCAGAATCTGGGAGCTCCAAAGCATCCATCGTAATAGGGTTGTATATGAAGAGTTTGCTGTTGTGCGATGAATCACATAAGCATAGCAAACCATTACATGAAGCTGCCACATAAAACTCAGGCAAGGTTGGTACGCGGAGTTGCTTGACAACCTCAATTTTGTCTCCATCAGAAGAAAAATCTGCAACGTAGAGTTTGTTAGGTTCGACGCTGTGTAAGATTAGATATGGATCATTTTTTGTGGTTCGAAGAAGAAGCATATAGACAAGAAGAGGGTCTTGTAATAATTTGCGCCATGATCGGCAAACAAACTTTACGTTAGCTAAAGATGTTATAGGCAGTCTTGATAGTATATCTGTAGCAATTTCTCGTGGGAGACCCTCCATAACATTCAAAGATTATTTGATCTAAATTTATTTCATGTTGGTTAGTATTTTTACAAAGAATTGGCCGGCTGAGAAATTAAAAAAAGGGCCGGCGATGATTAAAAAAGAGTTTACGATAAGCAAAGCGTGTATCGATAAGATACAATCTTATGTTTGAGAAAAGACAACATGAAAAAGTTATCTAAACATTCCTTCCACTCCACGCTACCTATGCTCATTTCCTTTAAATTTGAGAAGGTCCTCCATTGTTTCGTGAGTTAATTATTATCAGTACTATCTGCTGTTTTGTATGTTATTATACTTTATGTTTTAAGTTTCCAAAACTTTATATTTTTCACTCTCTGTAGTTCATGTAATTTCACTTGACATCTTCCATTAAAAATTTATTAATCAACCCTTAGAAATTTAATTGACTTTTTATCAATAAATACTGGAGATTGATGTTATCTATACACAGCCACTAAACGCATTTCCAAAAACTCAAGACTTCCTTTCCTAAATACGAGATTTATGAATGAATATAACTATCTTGATTTTTTTTAATACTTGCTAAAAAATGTTTGATTATTAAGGGTTAAACCCCTAATCACTCCACGTTTGGAGGATGTGTTTAGCAAGAAAAGAGAACGTTTTCAGCACTAATTTGATGGTTAAAAAAGAGATAGAGTTACCAATAAAATGAGATTACAAAACCTTTTTAGTTTTTCTTTTTTATATTTATTTAAAGTAATTTTGGGTAGTTAAGAATTTGAGACAGAAATAAACTATGTTATTTTAGAGTGGAAATCGTAACTTTTCACAATCTAGGGTGTAAATTGTAATGACACCCATAACAAAGGGTGGTAGAGATAATTAACTCATGTTTCGAAGTTGGACTTCTTTCATATATTTTATTTTTGAAAATAATTAAAATAAATAAATATTTATTTTATTTTTAAATATATTACATCAAATATTTTTGAAAGTAAATAAAATTAATTAATTTTTTGAATTTTTAACTTTAAAATAGATAACATAAGATAATGATTTTAAAAGAAAAAATTATTAATTAAATATATTAATAAATAAGATAATTATTTTCAAACATAAATAAATAAGATATCCATTATAAAAATAAAAATAAAATTCTGTCACGCCCGGTTTTTTTTTAAAAAAAAAATTAAAGGCTTGGACTTTCGGGTTGGGCCGTGGGGATGTAATCTCAGATAGTCATAGGCGATAACAACTGATGAGTGGGCCCACACATGAAAAGTGTTTTCATTTTTTCTTGCTATTATTTATTTTAGGCTAGGCTTTGCCCGGACATTGATTCTGCTCTTCTACCACAGTCTGGCTCTTTAGGCGTCCAATCTCTTTCCTTTAGTGCATTTAGAATTTCTATCTATTAATTTATTTTTCCTGAAAAAGCATGAGAATTAATTTTTTTAACATCTCTCCCTCCCATGCACGCTTCTTCTTTCTCTATTACTTTATCCATTTATTTTTTATTATGTTTGTCTCATTGTCCTTTTTAACAAGTAAGACCTAGGAAAAAGAGGAGTAAATTATAAATTAATCCCTCTAGTTACTCAAAAGGAATTGAATAGTCCTTCTAGTTTTAATAACTAATTAATTAGTCTTTATATTTTTAAATATATTTGTAAGTTAATCTTTTTTGTTACTTTTCAATTCATTTTTTTTTCTAATTTAATAAATAAAAAAGAAAACAAATAAGTACAAATATGAAAAGATTGATGAGAAAATAAGATATTTTTAAAATAAGATAATACTAAATTAACCATGATCAACAAACATCAAGATACTAATTAATTAATTTTTGAAATAAAAGAGACTATTTAATTCGTTTTAGAAAACTAAAAAAATAATTCATAGTTTACTCAAAAAATAGTTTTATCCAATGTTTATTTTGTTTTTTTTTAAAAAATAAAAATAAACTCTTAATTCGATTCCAATATTTATATAAAAATTATTCTACCCTTGTAAAATGCATCATAAAATACAATTTTGACTTTAAAGGAAATAAGCACAGTATTTTCATTCTAGCAACAAGGAGAGGATAAATTGATTAATTTTAATATAAAACAAAATAAAATAATTAATAAATCATCAATTTCATCCTCCCAGTTTTAATTAAAATTTAACTAATCATTATCCCGATTTGTTAGTCAATTTGGCTCATTGCATAGAGATTAGAGTAATTTTTCTGCATAGCTAGACCTCTTGATGATGTAGCTTATTTGTTATCTGCTGATTTTGTAGTGGTTGCCTTACCCCGTTTTTTTTTTTTTTTTTTTTTTCATCCATGCAAATAAAAAAAAGTGTCCCATTTCTAGCCGTTGACCAATGCATGGGTAGGTAATAGTGATTAAGTGAAAAAATTTTGAAACTAAAATTGCGTATTTATTAATTACAACATTTAACTATGGTTTGCTTTTCTTTTTTTAAAAAATAATAATCTATGATTAGCTTTTCCTATAACTCTGAGTCCAATACAAAAATAACATTAACAAACAAAAAAAAAAAGGGCTGTTGTGTCTTTGTCCTATTTAGTGCAAGAAGAAGTTTTCAAAAGTTAAGGAAGGAAAAAGGTAATTTTCAGTTATGTTGCGTGCTAAACAAATGAAGATTATTTTAATCTGAATTTTCTCTGTAGTGGTGAAATGTAATCTGACATTGGAAGATTTAAATTTGAGTTTTGAGAAAAAAAAAAAAAAAAGGCTTAGGTTAGCACTGCTGATACATACTACCACTACTTTTGATTTATTAATATTAATAAATCACAGAATAGAGATCGTGAACCAAGAACATGACACGCAGATCGTGCCAAGTGGATAATAAGAGCGTCCAAAATTGGTGAGCAACAATCCTTTATTGATTTGAATTCCTTAATTAACCCTATAATAATTGCTAGCTACAGAATCTAGGCGGATCTTATTAATTTTCAAAATGCAAATCAAACCAACAAGGAAACACAAGGTTGATTCATCACCTAAATAGAATACACAGTCAATTATGCATGTATTATTCTAAAAAAATATGTAGGATTTTTTTTTCTTTTACTTGAATTATGTATCTTTCAATTTTTTTTTAATTGAAACTTTTTTTTTTAATTAAAATTTTTTAGTTTTCAAGATTTTTTATTTTACGTTTTTTATTATAACATAACTTATCAATAATCAACACATGACATTATAAAATAAAAATAACATATCAATCATTAATTATTGATTAATCACGTTATAATAGGAGATTTACAATAATAAAAAAATAAAATTTTTTAATAAAAAAGATTGTAATAAAAAAATTCGGACAATACAGCCATAATATAATCATTTTTAATTATCATTGTATTATAAATTACTATAATTCAATGAATCGAGATTGTCCACGTGACATATGCCAGAAGAAAGCGTATAGCTTATCTTATTGGAAGAAACACATGGGCAAGCCATTTGTTTTTTTTTTCCTAATTAAAAGAAAACAATTCAAGAATTGGAGTGTTGAGTTATTTTATAATGTGAATACAATAGAAAAATACTCCTACCTACGTGCAAAAGTAAATAATATAGATCGGGTGGGTTATAATATTTTGGTTTTGTCAATTTCAAAATTTTAAAGAAATAATCTAAAATTATTATTATCACTAATCATGTGCCAGGCCTAACCACACTCACATGAACACATCCCAAAACAAGCGGATCTCGCCCCAGCTAACATCTATTCTCGTACCAATATTAAAAGCATGATTTTTTTCTTTTTTTTTTCCCTTTCTTGTTTGAATTCTTTTTGAATAACAATATCCATTGACAATATCATCTTTTAACCAAAAAAAAAAAAAAAAAAACAACAACTTTTCCCCCTTTTTTTGGAAAAAAAAATCCATTAACAACATTTTTTACACTTAGAATGGTGGAGAGCTCCCTAATCCCTATATATGTACTCAAATTAAAATGGGTGGCCTTCTTCAATAAATAGATAAAAAGAAAAAAACTAAATTAAATAGAACCAATAAAGGAAACTGCTAATATATATATATACAGACACACAAACCACAAAAGCAAGAGTCACAAAATGCACCGGCCACATGTTTCGGCAAGATATTGGTTAACAGTAAAACTACCTATATTTATATTTATCCACCAAACAGTCTACTAACTCTCCTTGGTTAGGTAAATCACCACTCCTTAATTTTCTGAATATTCCTATCACAAACACAGAGTAAGACAAAAAGACGCGCCCCTCTTTTATTCAACCCTGTTGCAGCACTTTTCATAGATATCGTCAAAAGAATCAGAACTGAAAGAAAAACCTGCTGTGATCACTGATGGGGACAATAAAGGCAGCAATTGGGGATGCTGTAATAACTTTCATGTGGGTGTTCGTGTCTTCCATGTTCGGTTTGTTTACAAACCTGATAGTTACTGCTCTTGGTCTTCAAACCCTGGTCTGGGCTCCTGTGGCTATTATTACTACTCTTATATTCTCCTTTGTTTTCTTGTTTACCTTGCTTGGCGAAGTCTTAGGTGGGGCCAGTTTTAATCCAACTGGTACCGCTTCTTTCTATGCTGCTGGGGTTGGTGGAGATAGTCTCTTCTCCATGGCCCTCAGATTCCCTGCTCAGGTATACATATGCAAAGATCATAATTATCATGTCAAACATTTTGGAATTGTCCTGAATTGTACTTGATCATTGCATGCATTTCTTTCTTTTGTTGTTGTTTAGCTGGCATTTGATTTCTTTGTGCTTGGTTGCTTCTGATTTTGATTTTGATCTTCTTAATTTAAAGATTTCTTTTTCTTATTCAATTCCTTATTTTTTATCTTGTTTGTAATGCAAGATAATGGAGTCTAGTGGATCTCACTGACCTTTTAAGTTCTCTAGTTACCTTTATTGATAACAATCAAAAAGTATTTTGCAATTGTTGCCTGTGTGTCTTAAGTTTTCTGAAGGAAGAACATTGATTTGATCCACAATGATCTGTCTTCCAAAAACAAGTATCATAGTTTTGAACGGAGCATCTATGATTTGCTTTCCGAAGAACATTACATCCTTTCTGTCCAAAAAAAAAAAAAAAACGACCGTAGAAATTATGCCAAAGTATTACCAAACAGGATTGGATGATAATTATTAAAGTATTAACAATTGAATGTCTCATTCACAGGCAGCAGGGGCTGTGGGAGGTGCATTGGCTGTCACGGAGGTGATGCCAGCGCAGTTTAAGCACATGCTTGGAGGCCCTACTTTGCAGGTGGACTTGCAAACTGGAGGCCTTGCTGAGGGGGTTTTGACCTTTTTAATGACTTTTGCGGTTCTTGTAATTATCCTTAAGGGCCCTCGTAGCGCACTTGTGCAGACATGGTTGCTTGCCATTGCCACTGTAACATTGGTCACTGCAGGTTCTACTTACACCGGCCCTTCCATGAATCCTGCCAATGTGAGTATCTCATCTGTCTTTGCTTTTTAATTTCAATCACCGTTTCTTCTTGAAGATATGTGGAGGGCTTATGAATCTTGCAAATTATGTAACGACCTATCTGTACTTGTAGTTTAGATTATAAAAGCATAGGCTCCTAGACATTTCATGCATGATTCAAATTGTAAATCTCCAGGTAACTACGGCAATTAGGTAATGTTTTTATTTCATGAGTCGTGCTCTGAAGTCCTGTTCCCAAGCTTCAAGCAATCACTTTTGTCATTACTCTGATTCGAGGTTTTGTCAGATTCTTAGTTTTAATGCTTCAAATCTTCACTGCCATTGTTCGTTCTTAAACGTGTCATTAGTCCCGCTCGAACATTTGTGTTGAACTACTATTAGTTGAAGACCAAACGTGGCACATGGTGTGGTGTTACCTGGATGCATTATTTCCATATGGATTGTGTAGTATTTCATTATATATGTTGTTACCTGGATCAACTTTGCATTCTCTTTTAGATCATTTTAAATGTTTGACTGACATTGCACATCTTGAGACAAGGTCTCATACTGTCAGGGTTCATCTCTTCTCTCTCTCTCCTTGATAACGTGTAAAGATGCATAATTCAGGGTGGTGGACATGAGATAGGGAAGGTTAGAGCCATCCATCCTTTCTGATGGAAATCATGGAATATTATCTTTGGATTTATGAGCAATGTTTATTGCTGATGATGTTGGTGGTGTTAGGCTGTATAGTGGAGCATGAGTTGTGATAGCCGGTGGAGATGGCAATGAGTCTCAATAGCTAGAGCAGCAATCAGCAACGTGGACAATATTATCCTGATTAAAATCTTATTGCTACCAATGGAGACAGGTGGAAACAGGGGAGAGCTGAAGCTCGCCATGTGGGGAGGGGTGTGAAGTACTGATCAAGATGAAATAAAAATATAGATGGGTTGCTCATCTTGGGACATGAAACAAAGTTTTGAGGAGGCACGTATATACGGAGCATAACTTTCTAAGATTGGTTTGATTCATTGACTTGCTTTCTTTGCGCTATCTAGCCTATATCGAAGTCAATAGCTTTCTTTGGAATCTGTAGTCAGGATATATGATAGGTAATCAAAATAGTTTGAGAGAAAAGCATTTGCTGATATCCAGATTAGTCTATTAAGGAAATCGATTCGCAAAGTTTACCTTACAAGATTCCTTGGAAACTTCTAAATAACAATTATCTTTCCACCTAAGGAAGTATGGAACAATGTTAAAGAATGGTTATAAAATTTTGAGAAATTATTCGATACTCTTGGAAAATGTAGGGTTCATGAATAGATTTGAGCAAGGGAGTACAAATTCTTAGAGTTTATGAAAGGAATTCAGATTTAGGAGTTTTTTGCATCCTGTTCTTAGATGGTATGATTTTTAAGTTTGATTACCTGCAATTAGTGCATCGACAGTTCCATGCATCTATGGGATAGAAAGGATCTCTTACATGTTAAATTCAAGTTTTGAAGATTGACCTTGCTCGCACCATTTTGATAGAACTATTTTCTTTCATTTTTCATGATTATCATGCAATGCTTTCATTTGTTTTTTTTATTTTTCATTCTAAGTTTACATCGTTTACTTAGATAATAGAAATATGTATGCATAGGCTAAGTCAGAATCTTTGCCCATTTTGGGTGCAAATTTCAGATGTTGGATCTGCAATAGAATCATGTCTAAGTGCATTAAATAGCAAAAGCAGACAAATTATCCAAATCCTTCTTGAATGGCTTAAGGTAGGTGTTATCTCAGTTTTTTGTGAAGCAGAATAAGAATATTGATGAGAATACTCCAGCTTAACTTCTGAGAACTCTTGCCACCAATGTTGATGTTCCTGTGGGGACTGGATCAAACGGGGCTGGGATATAAATATCCGTTAAAATTGCTTTATACCCCACTTGAAATGAAAATTTCCTACCTTCAGGGGCCGGGGTTCGCCCTTTTGTTTTTCCTGTTTCCTAAACCAGCCTATTCTAAGAACCGTTTTTTTTAAAACTAGATATGACGTCAGAATAATATAATATGTGATACCCCATATCATGTCTTTCATCCTTCTTCCATCTTTCTGCTGCCATTTTTATTACCAGTACCTTCTTTGCGTCTGTTTATGTGCTTTATAGAACTCTGAAATTGTCTGGTCATATTGTTTGTGACAAGGAAACTTTCAGAAACTAACTTCTGAGCATGTTGATACCTTGCACGTTCTCCTATTGCTTTTTAACCTTTAGTATATCATTTGGTTATGCTGTGAAAATTGATCTTTGACTTTGAAGCATCTTTATATGCATGGATCAAAATTTGCAGATCTGAGAAGTTTGCCATAGCACTTGTTTTTGCTAGACGGAGAATGTAATGTTTGAGATATAATCAGATTGTAGAGCCCTCTTGTTACAAAGAAATTAATGGTCCTTCCATGGGACGTCCCTTATCTAAAGCAAAGTATAGTCCTTACATGATCAATTGCTTGTTAGAGGGCTTTCCCAGTATCGCAACAATGCTATTCTTATTACCTTTTATATAATCTATTGATCATAGAGTCTTGGAAGTCTCAATATATAATGCTTGTCGTTTGATTGAACCTCTAAGATTTCATCTGCAATAGATCCTGATCATGGTGTTTTATTTTTCATTTAATGTTTCTGATGAGACTTGAGGAAGTCCTAACTAATTTGGAAACTTGTCCTACACTGTTCTCCACAGGCCTTCGGATGGGCATATATAAACAACTGGCACAACACATGGGAGCAGTTTTATGTTTATTGGATATGCCCCTTCATCGGAGCGATATTGGCTGCTTGGATCTTCCGCATTGTCTTCCCCCCACCAGCACCAAAACAGAAGAAAGCCTAAAATGACACAGCTTTGCACATTGTTATTTTACATTGCTTGATAAGTTGAGGTTTCAATGGTAATAAGAACTCTACTTTTTCATTTGACCAGTCATCTTTGGACCATCTTCAGTTAAAGATGCATATAATGCAGTTAGCCTTTTTGCTTTTTCCTTCCTTGCCCATTTCTTCTTGACATAGTCAATTTTGGATTTGAATCAATAAGGAAAGATTATTTTAGTGGGATTGCAACGACCTGGAACAAGTCATGTTAATCCTGCCGTTTCCGTGAAGAATTTAATCCCGATGGATAAGCTCTTAGTTTGGATAGCACGAAAATTAGAAGGCAAGGTTTCCTTACATGTTGCCAATGCCATGAACCACTAGCTATTTCAGTTGTCTTCGAGGAAAAAACCTATTTCTTTTCTTAATTCGGCTGAGGAAAAAAAAAAAACTATTGCTCAATGCTTGATTAAAATATCCATTTCGAGATTTAAATTTAAATTCAATAGCTGCGTATGCAAAAAAAAAAAAAAAAAAAAAAAAAAACCTTGTCCAAAGTTTAAAGAACTTGGCGTAGGTGAAAATTTAGTAGTTAATCCAATATTTAAGATTAGGAGTATATTATAAAGATTTCTAACAAAAGAAGACACTTGATTTCGATCATTAGAGATAATTGCAAATTATGAAAAAAAATACTATAGAAGTAGCATCCTTGCCATAATTCTCTTATAATAAGCCAGTGTTTCGGGATTTCATGAAAGTGGGGTTAAGTGGAGAAAGCAAGGCCAAATTTGTTTATTTATTTGGGTGTCCAAGTGAGAAGAAAATGAAAACGAAGCAAATTAGGTTTGTAATTTTTCATACTGTATTGCTAACCAAAAAAACACAAAACTTTTATAGGAAATTTAAGCACTCGGATTTAACACATATCACCGTTAACAACCAATTTAATAGAAAGAAAAATTACATCTACTCTAAATTGATTCTTGAGATCTATTCTTTTTTCAAAAAGAACGAATAGAGAGATAGAATCGGATCGATTTTCTAAATGTCCTTACGGATATTCCTTAATGTCCGAGCTATTCGGAGAAAGTGCAAAGAAGATGAATAATCATCTGCTTTCGGAAGAAATCAAAGAGTTTTTTGAGAATCCTACGGGATTCATTTGTTTTTATTTTCCTTATAGATGAGTAACCTTTATTATGAGAAGACAATAATATAAAAATATGATTTTTATATCCAAAACTCCTTTTACACCTTCTCTCTTAAAAGAAAACAATTCAATCCTTGTATTTTTATAATGGCCAAAACTCTTAATGAAAAAAGAAAAAACAAACTTGATGATCAAGTTTATAAAGCTTGGAGGCTACTCCATTCTTTCTTGATCTTCACTCCATTTACTTAACCATTAATTGAAGGAATATGAACTATAAACTCAACAATCTCTACCTTGATGAATATTCTTGTCACCCTAAAGATTTGTTGGCTCTATCTACTTGTAAATGGAACTAAACAAGAAAAGTAAAAATAACCACCGGCATCGAGGAGCTTATGGCCAAGTGGTAGTGGTTTTTTACAACAATAAATTACGGGTTCAAATCCTAACGAGACTAGTTCTAATCTCTTACAACAAGAGGTCACGGGTTCAAATCCTAGCAAACTAGTTACGTTAGGAGCTTTGAGTGTATAAGTAAAATAATAATAATAATAATAACCACAAGCTTTAAATTTTATCGAGTTACACTTGACCTAAATCAATAAATAAACTTGAACTCTACGAGATTAAAAAAAATGACTAATATCTCGTGTCTTGTCTTGAATCAATTTTACTTGTTAATTCCGGATAAGGTCCTTGATCCATCATTTTTCCCTCAACATGATCTTTCCCTTACACTCGTATGAAACCTAAGAATGCATAATTTTGTTTTTGTTAAAGGGAATTTATTTTCAAATGTTCATAAGCAATGAATCTTCTTGATGAAAAATCTCATGTTTGTGTTTTTCTATAATTTTCATACATAAACCTAATTGAGTTTAGTTTGAAATTTTATGGCTAAAAATAATAGTTTTAACCCTTTATCAAATTTTGAAATGATAGAATAATTCGAGAAAAAGTTATTTCCAACGAAAAGAGAGCAAATTTGTAATTTGATATCCTAGAAGTGACAACTACTTCATCGATTAGCAAAAAAATTGAAAGAAGTACTTGATTGGTAGTTTTAAAAAGTTCAATGTATTCAAATAAAAAAATTAAATTAAAGAACATGTACTTGATTGAGAAAAAAGAGAAAATTATAATTTGATATTATAATGATAACGGACACATCATCACTTAACAAAGAAATTAACGAAGTACTTGATTCACATTTAACAAAAAAATTGATATACTCAAATGAAAAAAATTAAAATTCATATACTCAATTGAGAAAAATTAAAAATTGGTATACTTATAGTGTAATTGTTATGTATAACATAGGAACTATCATAGTGCCTATGATATAGGCAATATTTTAGAAAATCACATATATATATATATATATATATATATATATATATATATATATATATATATATATATATATATATATGTATGTATATATGTATGTATGTATATATGTATATATAAGAAAGGTAACTTGTATTACTTAATACACCCCTCAAGCTAAGGAGGAGAAAAAACCCTTATAAAGCTTGAAAGTAAACATAAGAAATTGCTCGGCAAGTAGAAATTTCATAAGAACACCAACAATTTGATCCTATACAGCAATGAACTTGACAAGAAGAAAGCCTTTACTTACTTGATTCCAAACAAAATAAAAGTCAATCTCAACATGCTTAGCATGACCATACAAGCAAGATTGGCATATAAGTAAGTAGTATTAAGATTATTGCACCAAAAAGTGAAAGGAGATGAAGGAGCAATATCTAGCTCACAAAGAAAAGACTAAATCCATTTTAGTTTAGCAACACCATTAATCGGGGTTTTGTATTCAACTTTAGTGAACGAGAGAGAAACAATTTATTACTTACCATATTTTCAAGAGACAAGATTATGCCTAAGAAAAATAGCATAGCCAATTGTAAACTTGCAATCATCAATACTACCAACTCGGTTAGCATCAATAAAGGCATAAAAATAAAGATGGGTACCGACTAAGATGAAAATCGTGATCAAGAGTGTATTAAAGATAGTGAAGTGTTTGTTTGACAATCATTTAATGATTTTCAATAGGGGAATGCTTGAGTTAACGACAAAGCGATATCGAGATGAGTAAAAGTCAAGTATTATAAAGCATCAACAATATGACGATACTTAGAAGCCTCAAGAAAGGGCTTGTTATTGCCAAGACAAAGCTTGGTGGAAACGGATGCTTGGATTAGCCACGAGTTTGCATTGCGACATAGTAGTACGAGCAAGAATATCCTAAATATATTTCCGTTGACAAGAAAAAAGATATAACTAGTGGATGTCATCTCAACTCCAAGAAAGTATGTAGGAGAACCTAGATCACGGAGGTGAATTCAACGAGCAAGTCATGCAATAAGAGTTGTAACATGAGAAAAGCTACTACCTATGATACAAATATCATCAATGTAAACTAAGAGAAAGATGGAAACCTTAGCAATATATAGAATATAAAGAGAAGTATAATTTTTAGATTGTACAAATCTCGAGGCTTAGGAAAATTTAATTGAGCTACAAGTACAAAGCATGGGATCCTTGTTTTCATCTCATACAAAGATTTATGCAACTTGCACGTGTGATTGGAATAGACGGAACTAACAAAGTCGAGGGGTTGGTCCATAAACACATCTTTAGTTAGGACACCATTAAAAAAGACATTATGAATATCAAGCTAACAAACTAGGCACTACTTAAAAACTACAATGTCAAGTACAATGCAAATAGTGGCATGTTTAAAAAGAGGGTTAGAAGCTTTGGTGTTGTCCACACCTTTTTGTTGGTAAAACTTTTTTGCCACAAACCTTGCCTTATAGCATTCACGAGATCCAAGCAATTTTTTTTTTTTTTTACACAATGAACTTAACAACACCCAATGACATTCATATAAGAAAGATGAAGGACAAGGATTCATAGTATGCATATGAGACATCAATTTTAGCAAGCACATCAACATATCATTTAGAATAAAGGTTAGCCTATTTGAAGGAGATGGGCTCATGATCTAGAGGAGTAAAAGATCAAGAGGCAATAAGCTGGTGAACTAGAAATAGTGTTGAGATTTGCTTGTTGGTTTGGAATGAATACGAGGATGAAGAACCATATTGTATGTGAGTTGATTTAGAGTGGCAAGTTGTCATGAAGATGATCATTAAACGTAGATGTTAGGTTTGAAACTACCGGAATAGTAACGATTATGGCATTTTGCTTGTTGTTTGGTACTACCATGATATTCCTTCTATTTGGAGCTGAAATTGTAGTAAGGATCATTGCATAAGATTGACCATCTTTCATAAGGAAACTAGACAAACACTTTGATACCAAGTTGAGAGAAATAACAAAAAATAAATAAAAATGACGAATACCCTTATGATTTCATAACTCTAAACAATGGTGTCATATTGTATTTGTATATAGGGCTCTACAATATATAAAATATTACAGGCTATGATATAGGTAACATTATAAAAAAATTACAATATATACAATAAAACGAACTTATATGAATTAATAGATTCTAATTAGCTGAATAATATTATATTCATATTTATCATTAGGACATAAGCCACACCATCTAAAGTGCAGACTACTTCATAAAATATTTTGATTTTCATCATTTCTAGAGTCATAACATCATAAGATGACACATCATTCAAAAACACGATGCTAATTTTCTCTTTTTAAAACTCTTCAAAAATTTTTTTTTTAAACACATATGTCAAATCTAATATCCCATTATTATGAAAAAAAATATCAATACTTTTAAAGACTATGAAGATATCTTCATAGTCATGTACCACCATCATATCATATTTATCCATGCTCTTTTTCGAGGATAATCTCTCATGATGTGAGCATATTTTATACATATGTAAAATTGAATGCCTTTTCTATTGGACTTGGACTTAGGTCTGTCACTCCGAAATTACTTTTCGGCAAATCTTCCTTTCGATTCTCTCATCTGGTCACTAGTATAGAGTTATATTTCTTTATTTATTTATTTGATTTTGTTTACATCTCCTGAGATAAATGAGCATATTGTACTTGGTTTAAATTCACTATATTCTTACCATATAGAAATGTGGTCGCCAAATTTTCAAACGAATCAAAAAAAAAAAAAAAATCAAAAGAGGCTTGTCTTCTTTCTTAATTTTGACATTAACTTTTAACAGATTAAGTATATCGGTGAAGAAATTCAAGTGCTTTTATAAGATTTTTGCCTTCTTCCGTATTCACTTCATATATAACTTATTGGTCAAACTCTTTTTCAAATAAAGGTTTTTCAACTTTTTCTCGTATTGCGGGCTCTAAATCTTCATTAATATTATTATTGGCAATGTTATAAGTAATATGGAGTCAAATCATGCTTACACACCTAAATTCTAACCCTTCCCACTCTCGCTCCTCCATCTATTTTGGCTTTTCTTTCTTTTTTTTTTTAACACTTTAGTTAGACTATGTTCAATAAAGATATTTTTTTTTGCTTTTTAGTGTTAAGAGTCAAACTTTCATTCTCATAAATTGTTTTACGATAAAATAAAACTTGCTATTTATAGACATTATTCGTAATTAAAAAAAAAATCATATCTCTCAAAATTAAAGATTTGATACTAGTTGGGAAATCTAGGGACTGAGATTCTCTCGAGATTAAATGAGCTTTTATCATAATGTTTTACTTATGCAAATTCCTTTGATATAAAGAAAGTTATTATATAAATCCACTTTATTAAAACTTTACAACAATCTTAAAAACTTGCACTTTACACTAATTTCACTTCACCTCCTTAATTAACACTAATATATATATTTTAACTCTTTGAAAGTGCCATTACAAAAAGAAAAGGTTTTCCTACAATCTAAAAGGGGACAATTCCACAGTTTGCATGCGTAAAAACTATAAAACTATAGAAGGCCCTCTCTCCAGTGCCGATCCCAAATCTATGCAAATTACATCTCTTCGTTCTACTTTACGCTCATAAAGAAACTGAAAAAATCAACACCTCACATCAGTACCATCTTCAACTCCTCCCTCTCTCCCTCCGACCTGTCATTTTCCAAAAACATTTACGTGTTCTCATTTCAACAAAAAAAGAAAAGAAAAAATAAAAATAAAAAAACGCCTTTTGATTCATTAATTTCATTGATCAATTTAATCCCATTCCCTTGTCTCTCTCTCATAAAAATATCAAACATTAACCGCAAAATAAGGAGAGCTGGATCCATCACAGGAACCAGCGCAATCCTTAACATTAAAGCCGCCACCACCACCACCCCCGGTGGCCACCTCCTCCTCCGCCACCACTAACGGCCAGATCCGTTACCGCACTCCTTCCTCCGCCGAACTCTTCCTCGAAACCGGCAACACCGCTACCTCCCCTACCAATTCCGACAGTAAGTCATCTACAATGAAACGACAAAGCATGCGACAGGAGTCGTTAAGTGACAAGATCCAGAAGTACAAAGGAGTATTGCTGGTGATTTCGATCCCCATGTTTTTGATTGCTTTTGTTCTGTTCGTCATGCCGAGTCGTGAGGACTATGAGTATGGAGGAGGAGACGGAGGAGTGAGTCGGAAGATGTCACCGAATTTTGTTAGGGATTCGAGGAGTTATGCGGTCATATTTGATGCCGGGAGTTCAGGGAGTAGAGTTCATGTTTACTGTTTTGATCGGAATTTGGATCTTGTTCCTATCGGTAAAGAACTCGAGCTTTTCTTGCAGGTATTAATAATGCTTATTTATTTATTTAGCGTTCTTAAATAATTAATTAATACAATGTGGTTATTATTGTTTTTTCTTAATAATTTTGAAATTTTGTGAAGGAATGTTGTTGTTTTTTGCAATTGGTTGATTAGTTAAAGAAGTTGAGTTGTGGAAATTAGAAAATGATGGGAAAGGAAATTGGATTTAGATTGGAAATGAGACCTTTAGTTTAATTGCTTTAAATACTTCAGAGTTTCGGAGTTAATTTACAATTGGCGGAGACGTCATAATGGTAATGAAAAAGTAGCTTTGATTTTTACTGATAGTAAAGAGTTTGATGCTGTTGTTGTTTTAAGTGGAGGGCAGTTTGTATTTTGCTCGTGGAAGTGGAATTTGGTTCAATTTTGAGGTTTAAGAGTGATAGTAGTAGTAGAGAATGTATCAGGTCTGATGCAGAACCATGTATTAAGTGTGATGCCCTTGTTACTTGGCAAAGTTCTTCTATATTCTTTTACATTTTTCTTTTATTTTAATTTTTTACATTGAAAATGCTTGCTGAGTTTAGGAGAAATCAAAATGAGTGGTTTTAAAATTGATAAGAATGGTGCCTTGAGCACTCTGTTTCATACTGTTTACAATATATGCTACTGATGGTGTTTTGGTGTTCTGGTTATATAGCTTCAACCAGGTTTGAGTGCGTATGCGAATAACCCACGAGAAGCAGCCAACTCCCTTGTTTCCCTGCTTGATAAAGCTCAAAGTTCTGTGCCTAAAGAGCTCCGACCAAAAACACCAGTCAGAGTTGGGGTGTGTAAATTCGAATTTTTGTTTTGTTTTTTTTTTTTTTTTTTTTTTTTTTGCATGAAACACATAATAATTAAATTTATGATCAAATTATGTAATGCCATGTATACAATTCAACTTAAGTTTAGTTGGGGTTGCTTAATTACTGTAATTGGCTTTTAAATGTTTCTGCAGGCTACTGCTGGCTTGAGGGCATTGGGAATGGATGCATCTGATAAAATTTTGCAAGCGGTTTGTCCTTACTTTATATTTTTTATATTGCTTTTCTTTTCATGCTTTGCCACGATATTGCATACTTATAGCCATTTGAACTCCATGTTTGAAGGTTAGGGATCTCCTGAGAGATAGAAGCACCCTTAAATCTGAGGCAAATGGGGTCATTGTTTTGGACGGTTCGCAAGAAGGTTCTTATCAGTGGGTATGTTTCATTGACTTTTTTTATACACTTTTCATGTTTGTACTTTTCAAGTTAGTTAGATGTTGGGTTTTTCAACTTTTTTCCCCTAACAATGAATACCTTGTCACAATGCTGGTGATTGCAATGAAGAGAGAATGATGAGTAGGGTGTAACAATATGCTGTTTCTTAATACAAGTATAAAAAACTCTGTGGCATCCCCATGTTAAGTTGAAATCGATAAAACAGTGTGATAATTGCTACCATAGAACTAGCTAATCAGTAGTTTCGCATATTGAACATAACAAAGAATAGTCCTGTCAATTTTTTCTTGGGTGCATCAAGTTGGATAGAAGTGCTGTTTCTGCTCTGGAGAAGGCTAATTAATTCCTTTTGGAAAGGCTTCTCTTGAATTAGGATGAAATATGAGTCTTCATGCATGGGTTTCTTGCTCAACATTAGTGAATCACTAAACTGCAAGTTACTAACACTTACCAGATTGCATTTGCATATCTTGATATTTGGTGCTCACTTGCACTAGTTTCTCCTGTTTCTGTTTCTATTCACACTGCCCCTTTTCGTGTGCTAAAATGCACTGGATGTCAGTTGTATGAGCAGTTTTTACATCATATTACCTCTGTTGGCTTTCACCCTAGCCCTACAGTTTGTTTGCGCTTCTCCTCTAGAAAGCGTCACTTGATGACATTATGATCATATATTGTCCATTGACCACGTTTTTTGAGGGAGACATGGAAAATTCCTTGAAACAAGGTACCGATGTATTCTTTTATTGCATTTAGGTGGTCATAACAGGTAAGGTATTGAATGAAAGATGAGGATCCTTTGGTTTATTCTGTCCTCCATATTATTGTTTGGTCTTTTCTTACTTTAACTGGCTTGTTTTTTGCAGGTGACAATTAACTACCTCTTAGGAAATTTAGGAAAGAAATATTCAAAAACAGTTGGAGTAGTAGATCTTGGCGGTGGATCTGTTCAAATGGCATATGCTATATCTGAGATGGATGCTGCAAAGGCACCAAGGTTATCCGATGGAGAGGATACATATGTAAAGGAAATGTTGTTGATGGGAACCAAATATTACCTCTACGTTCACAGGTTGGGTTCATCAGTAGCTGTGAGTTTTTGCATTTTATCAGGCTATGTTTTAGAATTTTCTTGCGAAAAAGAATTTTGGGACAGTTATTAGCTGTACTGTGGGTACAAGGTTGAGTAACTTCATGACTAGTTTATAATTTGATTTTGGCATCTTTCATATGCAGCTATTTGCACTATGGTTTATTAGCAGCTCGAGCAGAAATTTTGGATACGTCAGAGGACTCTAGCAATCCGTGTATCCTGGCTGGTTATGATGGTAATTACCTCTTTTGTAAAGGACCCGATGGGTTTCGCTTTTCATTTTATCATGTTGTTTCATGTCCTTTGTTGATTAGAAGAGTTAAAATTTCTTATAAATAATTTGTTGCTGCATAATTTGCTTTTTAGAAGATGAATATCACATGTATGGTTAGAAGACATTAGTATAATTAACAAAGTATAATTAAGAATTTGGCCAACATACAACTTGATGAACCACGAGACATTATACCTTTTGATGCGCGGCCCATGCAAATGCATAAATTCTTTTTTTTATCTTGGTTTTTTTCTCTCAACAATTATTCTGTTCTCTATTTTCATATAATCGGTGGAAAAGTGGAATGATAGTTGTGATGATGTGTGGTGTCTTTTTTTATGATTTAAATTTTAAAATATACTAACATCATTTTTCCCTTTTAATTGCTTGTTTTAGATTGTGAATTTCAAAATGAGGTTACAGCAAATCACTTTAGCAATTGAGTTTCATTGGATATCTTCAAAATATTATAATTAGCTGTGGTTATAGTTTAAATAACAACAATATCTGCCATATATAGTATTCAGATGAGCAAATAGACTAATATCATTTCTTTTTCTGGTCTTCGAATTGTTAAAAGGGGTATACAAGTATGGAGGAAAAGACCATAAAGCATCAGCTTCTCCATCTGGTTCAAACATGGAAGAGTGCAGGAGGGTAGCTCTTAATGCTCTCAAAGTTAATGAATCAACTTGTACACACATGAAATGTACATTTGGTGGAGTATGGAATGGTGGAGGTGGGGATGGACAAAAGAACATGTTTGTTGCATCATTTTTCTTCGACAGAGCTGCTCAGGTACTAATCATCCTTAGGTTTCTTGTGAAATTCATTACAGGTTTTACTAATTTAGCATTCTAATGAGATTATTTACATATATAGGCCGGTTTTGTTGATTCAACTGTACCAGTTGCCAAAGTTCGACCTGCAGATTTTGAGGATGCAGCTAAGCGTGCTTGTGAAACTAAATTAGAGGATGCTAAATCCACATACCCTAGTGTGAAGGAGAATGATCTGCCATACATATGCATGGATCTTGTCTATCAGTATACATTGCTTGTAGATGGATTTGGTAAGTCCCTTGCACTCGAGTGAGCTCCCACTTAACTTTTGCTTCTGAGATCTGTGCTAAGATGATCTTTCCCTTATTCTTTGGTCACTCTTTGCCTATAGCTTTGGATCCATGGCAAGAAATGACGTTGGTGAAGAAGATTCAGTACCGTAATTCCCTTGTGGAAGCTGCATGGCCACTGGGCAGTGCCATAGAGGCTGTGTCATCACCAGCATAACTCTAAAATGCACCATCAGCTTAGTCACCAAAGCGCATAATTCAGCTGCCATTCGTCAGGATCAACATTTTTCTTACGCAGAGGACTAGCAGGATCTATATTGCTTCAGAAGTTCGTACAGAATGGAAATGGAAATTGGATTTTTTGCCAATAGCTTGGGAATAACAAAAAGAATAGCTCCATTTGTCATCATTTATAATCAGTTAATCACCTTACGTAGTGTTTCATTAACATTTGAGCGAACGATTCGATTCAATTAGTTCATTTTGATTGCCCTTCATTTTTCCTTCTCGTCTAGTTTCTTTCTCATAATCGAATGATGGTATTGGCACCCATCTTGTTTTTCGTTATTGCTATTGATAACGAATTGGAAATTCACTAGCCCATCATCCGCTCCACGTTGCAGGTCAAACAGTACAAAATCATTTGAAAGTTATTTTTTTTATTTAATTGTATTTTTTTATGCTTTTGTCAATTTTTTACTTAAAAAAATATGATTTATTCTTCTTTATACATAGATTCTAAAATTAAAAATTTATAATGATTTAAATTAAAATATCAATAAGAATTAAAAATAATATGTTTTTTATAAGAATGTATTCAAAAAATAAAGTTACAATTAATGTATAGATTTATATAAAAATTAATCAATAAAAAAAATTTATGCTTATTTATTGCTGATGAGATGATTCTTTTTTGAAAGTATATGTATTCGATCCATATATATTTATTTACAAAATAATCAACAATGTTAGCATAAGAAACTCGTATTTGAATAATTGAGTAGTTTTTTTAAAAAATTATTTAATTATTTTATTTCAAATAAATTGATTGTATAATGTTTTGAAAAAATATATACGTCTTGACTATACTTAGTGGACTAAAACAAATTATTTGAAATACACTTTTAGCCTTTTAAATTAAAATAATTATATATTTATATATAAGCAATTATCATTTAAAAATTCTAAAAATACACGATATATATTATATCAATTTATTTTTTTAAAGAGAAAACAATTTTTGTTTTAAAATTTTATTCTAAAATTCAAATATGAAAAAAAATTATATTTATCGATAAATAAAATTTTATTAAAAAATATTAATTGGATGAGGATTTTCATAAAAAAAAAAGAGACAAATTCAAAGAATAGATTTTACATAATAAGAGTTATATAATTTAAGATATATGTTAATTTTAAAATATAAAAATAATATATAATCTTTGTCACATTATGTGAAAAATACAAATAATAACGCTCGATGTTCCATAAATTTTACCTCCTTTCTATCTCTTGTCGGGACACAACAGCTTATTATAAATTGTAGGCAATAATTTATAAGTTATAATCAAGTAGGCAATAATATATATAGGTTGATAATTGGTTTCGAATTCTCTATTTGTGCCTGCAACAATCACCATCTCCGGTTCATTTGAGATTTGTCATGACTGGAGTGCCAATTTATGAATATTTGTCATTTCCTTTAAATGCAAATATGTGATTTTCAATTGGGAAGCATCTAAAGATTATAATTTTGCATTTCCTTAAGAATTGATTAAGCTTTTAAATTCGTCATCGTTGGGTTCGTATTCATATTGTAACATATAGTTCTTCATATTTTAATAATTTAATTTCTTAATTTTTAATTTAGTATTATTGTTTTGATTGTATATTAGAATAAAAAAAACTCAATTTTTAGTTTAAATATCTTTTATTTTGAGTTATTCTTTATGCAACTCAACCAGTTTAAGGAGCCATAATTTCCCATCAAAAGTTTTCAAGTCTACTGTTGTTTTTTTAATTTAATTTAATTTAATTTTTAATAATATAAAATATCATTACAATTATTAATAATTTATTTTAAAACGATAATTTGGTTCATTTACTTTTGATTGTCCTATAAAACACTTTTCAATCATGATTTGTATTTTGTTTTATTATAAAATCTTTCTAGTTCAAGCAGCCGAAAAAAACCACAAGCATTAATACTTCTTTTGAAGCATGTCACTGGTTCCTATGGTAATCCGCCTATCACTATCAGAACATAAAGTTGGCTATCAGCAATAGTTGTAGGCCGCCAGGTGCGGAAGTCACAAACACCGTTCCATCTGTTCCTAACAGACAATAGAGGACCCACTCATCATAAGCCTATGCATGCCCTTACACGTGGGGTTTAGCGTATGGATATCCACCTCAAGGCCACTAAAAAGGATCCTCTCAGGCTCGCACTTTCTCACCCTCTGCACACAACATATAGCTTCGTTTCCAAGGCACTTTTATTTTATTTTTATTTTTTAAAGAAAAAATCAATGAATTATGTTAAACAAAATTTACTAATAATTCAATTGTAATTAAAGAAATCAGGTTAATAATTTTTATACTACTAAAATTTTAAAATACCTTTCTGTTTCTAAAGTGTCTTAATTGATTTCTTTTTTGTTTTTTTTAACAATGCAGACAAATAAAGTGTGAAAACAAATGATAAAAATTAGAAGTTCAAATCTACGAGTCTCTTTTAACAAGTAAACAATTGATTGTTTTAAAAGTAAATATTAATATTAACTATATAATTTTGTATTTAATAAGACGGTGTTTAAAGAAGTAAGAAAGAAATATAACCCTTTTAAAAAATATATATATTTAAAACAAAAGAATTTATTGGTTTATGAAAATTTTGATAGAACTTATTGATATTATCTTAACAATATTTTTTTAGCCACTCTCCTTTTTTTAAGCACACATCAAATGTTTTTTTTCATTTCTCTCTCATAAATTAATGTTCATAATTTTATTACTTTCTCTTTCATTCCACCAGCGATTTACCTTTTCAATTTATCAACGCACCAAATTTTCATAAAAACTAACTTAATTTATATTTTTAAAAAAGCAATATTGCAATAATTTTTTACTGCATGAGACGTTGTGGTTGGCGAACTTGAGAGAGAAAAGATAAAAAAAATTGTTACCTAGTATTTGAAAGCAAGAAAACCTTATATTGATTTACAAAAAGATCGGAGATAAGTGATTGGTTATATGAAAAAAGATGACAGTCACTCTTCAATATCCTACCACGAGAATAGGCCATATCGCATGCTGTCCTATAATATTCGCTCATGGTCTTTTTATGTCTATTCGATCTCTTTATTATTGAGTTCAAAACTAATGAATCTCAAAGTCAAGTGATTCTGGAATTGGGTTAGCAAAACACCATATTCCTCGCTTTAAACGAATGGGCCTTGAACCCAAAATAGAGAAAAATTTGATTGATTTATTAAGCAGGCCCAATGGCCATCACTCATATAGAGGACCTATCTTGGATCGAAAAGATCTAGCTTAAGTTACTCAATCGTGGGTAAGAAAAAAGAAAGAAAGAGGGTAGAAGAAGAGGAAAAAAGAAAGGGATTCAATCTCAGAACAGCTACAAGTACCTATTATGCATGAACATAAATATCTTGCAAACCATAAACATGCACAAACCAAACGAATATTAAACTTGTATCTCGAATAAATGAATAAGAACAAAAGAAAAAAGGTTACAAATTATCAGGTTTTATGAAATAAAAATAAGACAAAAATTGTACGCATGTGGCGGCAAACAGCTCTACAGCTCAACAGAGAGTATGACTGCAGCACCCTTGAACCAATAAATTCAGGCAAGCATGCCACATCGAAGAGAAAAAGAGGTTAACATCATCAATAATCAAAATAATAAAACAACATTATCAATTTAATTATCCATGATGATTAACAATCCTCACATAGTTGACAAAAAAAAAAAAATACAAGAAAATTCATTATTGGAAAAATAGTGTTCTCAAGACTTAATAATGCATACAAAAAAATAAGCACATACGAAATAGCAAAGCACGTAAACAAGTTTTTAATTTTAGATGCAGGGGTTGGTTTCACGATCGAGTTACCATTCTTTAAATGCATAGCAAAATGCCAGGCCAGATGGAACTAGATACGAACAACACCCATAATATCATCATCAACCAACCATCCTTCAGGGTTTTATTATTGCTGTATATATATATAGAAACAGATTACGTTAAGATACCTAATTTCTAATTAGGATTACGAGATCTTAAAAATTTAGAATTTCTTTAGAGAGAGAGAGAGTTGAGAATGTAAAAGAATAATTATGAAGAAGATGAAGATGCGAGGAACATTAGGGTTTCAATTGTAGAAGAAGGAAAAGAAACAAAGTGAGGGACTAAAAGATTTAGGAAGCTTAGGGTTTCAATTGAAGAAGAAGAAGAAGCGAGGAAGCTTACGCTTTCAATCGGAGAAAAAGAAAAAGAAGAAGAAAAACGAAGTGAGGGATTGGAAGATTTAGGATTCAAAAAAGAAGAAGAAGCTCAAGGAATGAAAAAGATTTAGTCTCCATTTAGAAAGAGATAGCAAGTGGAGAGAACGATGGATTTTGGGATAATAGAGTGGGATAAATTTGTGTTTTCCCATCTTTTTTAAAAACCAAAATGTTTGTTTAATATTAAAATTATTTTAAAGATTTTTTTTTGTTTAGGATGTATCCCAAAATAATTAGAGTCTATATCGCTACGTTAGTAAGTAGGAAGAACGATGGATTTTAGGACAATGGAGTGAGATAAATTTACCTTTTTTCATCTTTTTGAAAAACCAAAATGTTTGTTTAATATTAAAATTATTTTAAAGTTTTTTTTTTTTTTTTTTAGTTTGGGACGTATACCGAAATAATTGGGATCTATATCATCATGTGTTCTTGCTTGATTGATTATCATTAGTTTTAACTTGTTACGTAGAATGAATATCTAACGACGTTATAATGAAGGGTCCGAATCAATAAATTTATAACAATAGAAGGTTTCAAAAGTTGAAAAATCATAAAAGGTTTCAATAAAAAAATTTGAATAGTATGGGATATAAATATGGAGTAAACCCAAAATAAAATAAATAAGAATAAGATATCTCACTCATACATTATTTCTTTTTATGATTTTCTCTCCTTTTATTTCTTTTATAAAATAAATAAGAATAAAATATAAAATTCTGGATTTTTGAAGAAATTTATGAAAAATTAAAAGGTTAAAATTGAATAATGACATTACTTATGTAAAAATTCAATCTCATATTTTAACCTCATAGCGAACGCCATCATACCATGAATCAAAAAGTAAATTTCACCTTGTTAAAGTAATGTTTGTTTGAAGAATACAAATAATTTTCCACTGAAGTATGTTATGGTAAGAACTGAAATGTCCCCAAAAGAAACATTGTTAAAAAGTACATGAATCAAATTTTGTGTGAAAAATTATGAACAGAGAGCCACTTTAGATACACACATTCAAAAACTGAAACTTAAGAACACTTGTTAAATCTATGCATTAGATTTAGCTTGGGAATTTCTAATTTTTACGAGTCATCACAAGTGATAAGAAAATAAAATAAAGGGACCAAGACGAATAAAAACATAAAATATATGAACCAGAATGTAATTTACCACGCGGTTTCGGCATTTAATTGTTCTATCTGAAACCAATCACAGATAGCCACCTGGCGGACTGCTTCCCCTTCACTACTGCCCCAAGGTTTTATGTACAGTAATTTTATTTATACTGGTACTTGTAGCCCGATCGCCGGGTAAAGACGTATTCTACTGCTGTCTACTCCTGTAAACCAAAATAGAAATGGCGGCCTCCAACCTTCACTTTGCCATTCTCTGTCCCGACAAGGAAAGCAAATATCCATCCGAATCTTGAAACAGAGTTGGTTACTTTACTCCAACAAATACAGGTGTCGCTTTTTATTTGTTCAGTTTTCTGTACAGGTAGAACCCTCCTTTTACTTCATTCAGTCATTTTCACAAACAGTTTCTGTTCCGTTTTAACAAGTTCTGTACACCCGTAGAAATGCAAGGAATCAGAATTATAAGATGTAGCCTATCGAGATTTTTAATTATTGCTCGAATCCATTTGAGTTTATCACCCTTTGAACCAGCCCACTTTGCAAATCCAACCGTTGAGAGACCATTGAGTTCTAAATTTTCAATTGGTTTCTCTTCTTTCTCTACTTCAAGTCATGAAACCCCTACCACGCCGAAGAATCTCAAAGAGCCAGAAGAATGTTGTAGTGATAATGACGATAATGACAGTGATATGGACAAGGATGATGATGATGATGTTGATGTTAGAGGATTGAATTTAAGCGATGATGGTCTTATTCAGGATGCGAAAACCATTGTGAATATGTTGCAAGAATCGAGTGACAATCGTGTGGAAATGAAAAACAAGATTGAGCAATGTGGGGTTAAGGTCTCACAAGAGTTGGTCTTGGAGGTACTTTCTAGGGTACGAAATGATTGGGAGGCGGCGTTTACTTTCTTCTTGTGGGCTGGTAGGCAGCCGGGTTATGCTCATTCTGTACGTGAATATCATTCCATGATTTCTATTCTTGGTAAAATGAGAAAGTTTGATACAGCTTGGGCGTTGATTGATGAGATGAGGGGAGTTAAGACTGGTGTATCTCTTGTGACTCCACAGACTTTGTTGATCATGATTAGGAAATACTGTGCAGTGCATGATGTTGGTCGGGCTATAAACACTTTTTATGCGTATAAAAAGTTTAAATTTGATAAGGGGATTGAGGACTTTCAGAGTCTTTTATCTGCTCTTTGTCGGTACAAGAATGTGCAAGATGCTGAGCACTTGATGTATTGCAATAAAGCTGTATTTCCGCCTAATACAAAGAGTTTTAACATCGTGCTGAATGGTTGGTGTAATTTGATTGGTAGTCCTCGTGAAGCAGAGCGGGTATGGAGGGAGATGAGCAAGAGGGGGTTCGATATGATGTTGTGTCATATGCAAGTATGCTGTCTTGCTATTCGAAGGCAGGTAGTCTTTATAGAGTTCTGAGGCTCTACAAACGGATGAAGGAACTGGGGATTGAACCAGATAGGAAAGTTTACAATGCAGTCATTCATGCTCTTGCGAAGGGTAAGCTTGTGAATGAAGCTTTCAACCTCATGAAAACAATGGAGGAGAAGGGCGTTGCTCCCAACATTGTCACGTACAATTCACTAATTAAACCTTTATGTAAGACAAGGAAAGTAGGTGAGGCTAAAGGGGCATTTGATGATATGTTAAAGCGCGGCTTATCTCCAACTATACGCACTTACCATGCTTTCTTTCGCATTTTAAGGACAGGGGAAGAAGTGTTTGCCCTGTTGGAGAAGATGAGAAAGATGGGATGCCAACCAACTAATGATACCTACATAATGTTGATTAGGAAATTTTGCCGGTGGCGTCAGCTTGAGAATGTCTTCAAGTTGTGGGATGAAATGAGTGAGAATGGGATAAGTCCTGATCGTAGCTCATATATTGTGCTAATTCATGGGCTCTTCTTGAATGGAAAGTTGGATGCCGCCCACAAGTATTACACAGAAATGAAGGAAAAACAGCTATTACCCGAACCCAAGATAGATGAAATGCTTCAGACTTGGTTGTCTAATAAGCAAATAGCAGAGGGTCAGATGACAGAATTGACTGGTAATCAACTCGATTGCGGCCATTCAGGCGACCAAACCAGAGGCATCCCTAAGAGAAGTCATGAAAGAAATTTCCTCCGACAACCTGAAACGAGAAAAGTTGTAAGAGAGCGAGGCTTTTCCTTTTGGGAGCCGTAGGTTCTTGTGTAATGTGTAATTTGAGGAGTCAGACAACCCGCACCATCAACCTTCCAAGAACTCCAGCAGCAACAAATGCACCAAATTTCCTTTGAAGAAATATTGCAGAGCACAATGATCTTGAAGATGCTGCTTTTCCAACCTACCAAAGAAGAAATGATAATCGTCATTCCGCACAATAACAGGATAGTATCTGTAAAATGCTGCAGATTTTATCTATAAGATTGCGGATACATTCATGTCTGTCGTGTGATTGGAGAACATCTCATGTTTTGCATTATACATTATTATTCTCACTCTTTATGCTAGAAAAGTTTAGCAAGAACAAAAAATAATAATAAATAAAAGAAATGCTTAGAAAGTCAACACCAAAATTGAGTTGTTAATGTTGCTCTGTTCTCTTTCAATTTCCTCCTTTCATATGTTGAGGTTTCCCCAAAGATCAAAAAATTAAAACTTTACTAATGTTGTAGCATAACAAATTATGAGGCGGTGATAGCTAGTCTAATTGAGAAGGTCTTTTCAAATTGTGCCAAATTACATTAGGATCAATTCCTTATAACATGACCCACAATTCACAGATTCTACTAAACGAGTACTAAAGGAAAGAAGCAAGTAGAAAGGAGGGAAAAAAAGAAAGAGAGAAAACAAAAACATATATTATCAATTAATTCTAGCTAGAGGTAGCTGGAGAAGGGAAGATAAGAGAACACAAAAGCATATATTGTCAATTAATTCTAGCTAGAGGTAGTTGGTTTTTCTTGCATGCTTTTAAGTAATCACGACTTCCATCAAAAGTATTTTATTATTTAAACATAAATAAAAAAAAACTTTATTTACTTTTTGATTATAAAAAAAAAAAAAAAAAAGAAGGAGAAGGAAAATAATGATGATTTGAAGCTCTGGAGCACGAGGCTTATTGCTGGAGGCCATTTAAACCGATTTTGAAAAAAAAAAAAAATTAACTACTTTCTACTAGAATGCCAAAAAAAACTCCAAAAATAAACTATGTAAAGTTTAATTTGAGCTTAGGTTCCATATGTATGGAGATAAAGCTTTTCAATTCACATGAAACATCAATAATGGAAGGGTGGGTGCGTTCAGTCCTGACATTCATCCACTAAAGTCACGTGTAATAATGCAGCAAAAGAGAACCTCGTGCTTAAAATGTAAAAGCACCTTCTCTTCTTCTCTCTCATTCTTCTCCCCCATCAGTCCACTCATATATTTTAATTTTGAATCTAATGTCAGAAAAGATTCTTCCCTCTAATTCATAACCCAACCATTTTGATTTTCAATGTCAATCAAAATTGCTCTTACAAAGGAAAATTTAGTATCCAATTTTCCGTTAGAAAAAGAATAAGGTATGAAAACATAAGAAACTCTCTTTTTCTCTGTAAAAAAAAGAGAATATTGCTGCATGCGAAGAGAAAACACTCTCTGCTAATTAAAAAACACAAGATACTTCGAACAAGTTAAAAACAAACAGCATATACGATTTTAATTACTAAACGTATTAAAGTTACATTTCTTCTCTTTTTATATGTCAACTTAGTTATCGAAGAGTCTTTTTAAACCCAAGAAGAGCATTTTGTTTTGCATGTACTATTTTTATAACCATCAATCTATGACTCTCCGTCGCAGTTAAATCAACCAAGTCAAAAGCTCATTCATCCATCCAATAAACAGCGAATCTGCAACCTCATCACATTTAACAACCGATTTTATAAGAAAACATAACATAAATTGTAGAAATAAAGTATAATGAATGTCACAAGTATGGTGCTATCAAATATCCCCAAACCTACATTTTGCTCGTCCTCAAGCAAAATAAAAATAACTAAATAAAATAAAATAAAAATTCTAACTCATTTTCGTAAAAATCACAATTACATTTTGTATATACAACAAGTCTTTAAATCTTTAGTCACTTCTAGTGGATGAGTTTTGTTTCATAAAAGTTTTCAGAAGATATATCCATAAATTTTTATATAAATACAATAAATGTATATTGAATAATAATAATAATAATAATAATATCTATCATCTAGTAAACAAGCTCATACACAATTAACTAAATTTTGCAAATGCAAGATAAGTTTTGACCAAATCTTCTTTATAAGGACCTAATTTGTCAAATTGATACAAACATAAAAGTGATCATATGGGTTTTTCCCATTTAAAAGAGTACAAATGCCAATATGGTCACAGAGAACTCCACCGAAGGTAGCACGGTAGAAATTTTTCCTTCTTCTTAAAGTTAATTACCCCACCACCCTTTGTTTTGAATACTATTACATTTTGTACCTTAAATTTTTTCTTTTTTTTTTAAATACGTTTTTCACCTTAGATTCATCATAAATAACTTTTCTATTTGAAAATTTTCAAAAATCCAAAAATACTCCGTAAAAAAGAAGTTAAAAAGTATTACATTCTCATTTTATCAATTACATTTTCTATTCTGGAAGAAAAATCTGTGTTTTTTTCAAAACTAATACAACTAAGTTTGAGTTTTTTTTTAGAAGAAAAGCTTGTGTTTTGAAGATTTATGCCATTTAAGCATCAATATCTTTTTTTGTAACAAATAATAAAATAAAAGTATAAAAGACATGACGTACGAAAAGAAGCAACACATTTTTTTTTATTTTTCTTACTGATACCGAAATGAAAATTAGCGAATAAAATCATTTTTCGGACAATCTTTTTAATACTAAATAGACATTTTGCGTATCTATTTCATAATTTATTATCTTCGCATAGGTTTTTTGGTCATTTTATGACATTTTGACTAAAAATCAACTCAATTTCTAATGACCAATTAAAAATGGCGAAATTATAAAATGCCCTTTAAATTTGAGCAAAAAAACAAATATTTTCCTAAAATAAAAAATCCTTGATTTTCCCCTTAAAAACAATATGATTTTTTTAAAACTTTTCCTTTTTGTTAGGGTTTCTTTGAGAAATTGATAGAAAAACTCATAAAAATCCTTCCAATTCCTATTATTTTTTCTATCAATTTAGTTAAACATGTTTGCTAATAGAGAGAGAGAGAGAGAGAGAGAGAGAGAAAAAAAAAAAAAGGAGGGGGGGGGGCTTAGAGGATTTTTAAGGGTTTTCCGGATTAATTTCTCAATAAATTTCTGCAAAATCACAATTTTTTTAGTTCAAGATGGTATTTTATAATTTAGTCCTAACAAATTTTTGATGGAAGGTGAAAAGTGCAAGCACAATGAAAATAAAAGATAGAGCTACAAGGTATTCAAAATACAGGGTGCAAAGTATAATAACACTCAAAATAAAAGATGGTAGAGGCCATTAACTATTTTTCTTATTCATTTCTAATGAGTTTTCAATAAAAACTAGCACCGTCAAACTATTATTTAGTGGTGGAGCTAGAAAATTTCTTATGAGTGGCAAAAAATAACAAGAGTTACAAACTTTCAAACTCAAACTTAAGATGTTTATATTCTTGATTTGTCCATAAAAAACTAACTAAATAATTTTATTAATTATGTGTTAATTATAGTTTTTCATAATATGTTAATTCATAATATGTTTTTTTAGCTCAAATCTATCAAAAACTAACAATGGCATTCAATGTTTTTCAAGTTTTGATGCACTATTCTATTCCGTTTGATGTATGTCTATTTTGTGGTGATTGTATAAATAGAAAAATGGGATATATAGATTATATCGAGATGAGAAGAAACCCAATGAAATTAATTATTGATATAGGAAGATTAACGATTAATTTAGCTTAGAGGTGGGACGGGGCAGTAGCTATAGCTTTTGTGCTTGTGTTAACTGTAATGGTGACTAAAAACAAAATGTTTGATTTAAAAACTATGGAGATAGAGGTTGCAAGTAATTCGGAGAAAAAGAAAGGGAAAAGAATGAATAAGTTAATTTTTAAAAGATATTTTTGCTAGTTTAATAGGTTTAGTTTTCAAGTTTTTCTTTGAAATAATTTCATGTGTCGCAGTATAAGTTCTCATATATAAAATCCTAGCAATACATTAACTTTTTCCTTAGAAAAAATAATTTATAACAAGTTCTTTTATGTAGATTTTTTCACTTATATATATCTTTTTTGGATTTTTTATCCAAATTTTTAGAATTTCTTTAAAGAAACTAAAAATATCTGTTGCCATACAATTTTACTCTTGTCAATTTTTATAATTCTTAGAAATTAAAGGTTTAAACTTCCTCATTATGATAATCGTCATTAATTTTTTTAAAAAAAATTATATATTTGAAAAATTATATTTTCTATTTTTAGAATTGTAGTTTTATTTGAAAATAATCAAGATTTACAATAATTGTAATATAAGAAAAGATTTATTATAATTATAAACTATTTAATAAGTGAGAATTTCCAAGAAAATTAGTATGAAAATTTTAAGCAAGTTAAAAGAAAAAAATAAATAAATGGTAAGTTTTCAAATATACAAAGACTATAATATATGTAACGCAATAAAATAGTAACTTTATTGCAAGACCAACTATAAAAGTGAACTAATTGATCTTACAAGATTATCAAATAACTTATTGGTAATTTATCTTTAAAAAATGAACTTATATCATTACCGGAAAATAGAGAATTAGCGACAGTCTAGATCGTCGCTAATTCTTAAAAAAACCTTCGCTAAATATTATTTGTAATAACCCAAAATTTTCCTCATTTTTATTTTTATTTTATTTTATTTATTTATTATTTTATTTTATTTATTTTATGTTTATTTTTGTTTTTGTTTTTATTTAATTTGAAGTTTACCAAAAAAAAAAAAAAAGAAAGGAAAGGAAAATGATGAAAAAAACACAAAAATTTTCATTTAGGGACACAATTGAAGTAATTAGGGGGTATAATTGAACCAATTGAAAAGTTTAGAACCTAAATTGCTTTACAGGGACCCAATTGATAAGATTGTGTTGAAATTATACCACAAAAGGGTGTAATCGCTAAACTCAAAATGCACAAGGACCAAATTGGAATGTTGGAG